GCTTCTAAATAGCAAGGAAGCTGAATGACTGTAGGGGTATGGATAGCTTTTTCATGGGCTCTGCTCAGTTTGTATGTTGTAACTTATGTCGAGCCATTGCAAGTGAATTTAACAAGGGCCAGTAAACAAAATTGACAAAAATATACACGATAAAGTTGCACATTTCAGCTTGGAGTTTGGTACTATTTCAACTGTCAATTCGACATCGAACTTTGAAAGGTTCAAAACCTATCTGTCTCATATTTGATCACTCTATAATTTTGTCTATGCAAAGGTTTTCATCATAACTTAATAACAAATTATAATTTAGGTTTTGGAAATCATTGGCTTTTTATCAGGAAGCAGTGCACGCTAACACTCTCTTACAACATTTCGACGGCCATTTTTAAACACCAAATTAAACAGAGTATAGAAATAAAATAACACCCGAAATAAAGTTTTTGGTTACTTAAATCTTATCTTTAAGTTTCTTATAATAGCTAAAAGTAACAAAAACATATAAATTTTAGACAAGTAATATTTTATAAAGCAATAGTTTCAGCATATATGCATAGCCATATTTGTTTACAATTAGAACGTCTTACCCCCCGCTAAGCCCGCATCACGGATGGGGACGCTCGATGTATTGGCGTTTCCACGCCCTCTCGCCCTGGTCGCTATCCACCGTTTAACTTGCTATCCGCCGGATAAAATTTAAACGCTCGAGAAATCATGTTATACGAAGCCCATTTAGTGCTATCCACCGATTAAATTTTGCCTATCCACCGATTAAATTTTGCCTATCCACCGATTAAATTTTGCCTATCCACTGTGTAAACTTAAACAGTCTCCTGAGACTGTTTAAATCGCTATACAGTGGATAAACTCATTTCCTTCTTTACTCACTGCGTTCGCCCGAAGGAAAAAATTTTCCTACTACATTCGCTATATCAATTACACACACAACGTATAGATGGTAGGCAATGTGTGAGCACTTGCCTATAATTCATTTATTCATATTCCTTTTATCACAATGATTAATCGCTATCAATATTTATTTATTTTACATTTCATTTGCTTTTACAACTGAAGTGACTTTGTAACTGACAATCTGTTAGTCATGGAGTCTTTAATGTACATATCCCTAGAGGTTGGACTCTCATTCAAGATGCAATCATGTCGGTTTTTTCAAATTGTAAGGATATTGAATTTCTAACTTTAATTAACCTTATTGATAATTATGTCCCACTAGTCCTTGGCATTTATTCTGTGGTATTCAAGTGCAATAACTATGATCTTTACTGCAAATCACTATTTCGTTGCTGGATAATGCTCATGGTATTTCACCGCACGCACTGTGACAAGGCCCTACTTGTTTCCCTCTCTACATTGAAGTATTGGCATGAAAACACTCACCCAATGCATCAAATAGTCCAGGACTTTTTAGTAGCCTTTGATGAGTATCCGGTGGAGAATTTCCATTCAGTTTTACGGTCCAGAACAAAGGAGACTGATACAGCCGAGCACGTTCGAGAGAAAGCCAAAGAGATTGATGTCTGTAAGAAAGAGATGCATACATTCCAATCATCATTTGTTCCTCCAAAGAAATTTGCCTTCAGTAGGAAACGTATCGACAACCTAAAAGCAACAGCTGCTGAATTCCTAGTCGGCAAGTTTGAGGCCATCCATTCCCAACCTGGTAGGGCATCCCAACTTCCCAGGCAGCCAAGACAGAAAAAGTACCTCACCAAATGGCTCTTACCGAATTTGTTTGGCAATCAAGTGATGACGAATAAGGTAAGGTCTTACCACTAGGATTTTCTTCAGTGGAAAGGTCACCTAACCCAGATAGGTAAGTTTCTTTCTCATGTATCCAGCTATAAACCTATAATTATGAAAGACTTATATTTTGATTGGGGGTTCACTCCCCACAAAATACTAGATTTACAACAGAATAACATATCTAATTTTAATATATGCCCATTTATAAATTTCTTTTTTGGCAAAGAGAACGTTTCTGTATTAATTTACTAAACAACTGAACCTCTGAAAAAAAGGCATTTGTACGGTTGAATTCTGTCATTGACAAAGTCAATTAATTTTCTCAATTGTTCAACTTGATACTTTGGCTTTCAAAATGATATACTTCAGGGAATTTGAAACGTTCAGAAAATTAGAAAATTCTAACCTTTTAATCCTTTTCCAAACAGTAAATGTGACAGCGTTCAGTGCAATCGACAAAGCACATTATGGCACGTCTTTCGAGGCTGTGGGCATTCCTTTCATATCGAGTGCAATCTTCCAAAAATAAGCGTGTGTCCAATTTGTAAAGGCTTCCTGGAATCAAAAGTTTGTTCACTGGGGAAAACAGCAAACACAGCGGTTCATCATTTCGATCCGACTTCAGTACAAGGAGCAGGAGATAGCGACGACGACGAAGACAGTGATGGCGAGTCGACTGACCTGGAAGATACGTCCGTCGAACTGGACGACATGACGAACACACAAACAGTTTGTAGCCTGCTTACTAAGGTTAATGCTTGGCGTAGGTTTGACAGTCCACGTTCGTAATGTGGTGAGTTTGTAATGTTGTGTCATTCCTTTTTTTTACCAAAAATATATAAAAACAAACCTGTACTTTATATATCGCCACGCTGCTTCGGCAATAAATTGACATGTCAAATATGTCAATTGATTTGGCACACCCCGGAAATGCCCTGTTCACTTGTGAACAGGATATTAATAAGTTATTGTGTTAAAGTTGTGGAGAATATAACAATATAAGCTGTGAGATAAGCTAAAACTAGACTTTAAACACACAAATAAGTTCGGCTTTTATGAGTTTGAAGAGTGTATTTATGCTTGCGCAAGGCAAAGTTTGAAGCGCCATATCTACGCAATCATGCAATTAATCGAGGAAGTTGAGGAGAATTCTTTTAAGAACAACATATATAAATTTCAGAACAAAAAACAAAAAACCGCTTGCAGCAAAGCTCTGAAGTGACTCCATATGATTTTCAAATGTTTGTTTACAAATTTCATGTGATGAAGCGTTTTACGCATTCTGATTGGCTTAGGGCAAAAATGTAAACAAAAGCGCTGATTGGCGAGAACGAAATTCCCCCTTGTTCTCGGGAGTCAGGTTTTATTTTAACGCATAAAACTCAAACACTTTTGAAACCATAGTCATAGAAGTCTGAGAACTCATAAAACCCGCGAGTGCTTTTGCTTTACAGATTTTTTGAACAAGCCTAAATGAAAACTAAAACTATATATCAGTAGTATTTAAGTATATTATTAAGTACATTATATAACCTCAGTCGAGCGAGATTATTTGAGGATACCCAACACATAGCCGTCATAGGCGGTCGCACCCATTTCACCATTTCTTTGCTTGAGCAGCACAGAGCCACATAGCTGCTCCAGACTGAATTTCATTAGATCATCCTCCCCAGTTTTTCTTAAAACACAGTTGAGAGTTTCTTTCTAAAACACAAATCGCTAACTTCCTGGGAAACGATGTCAAGCACTTTCTGTGTAACCACTTTGCGGACGGGTTGCATTTCATAACTGCCGATATAGTGACTCTCTATAGAGGTCCATACAGTAACGCTTTCCCCAATGTATTGTAAGTATCATTTACAGTTTTACTCACAGTTCTAAGGAGGTACGAACGGAATATAGGACGTGAAAAGCTGGGTCCATGGATTATGTCTTAGGGTAACTTTCAGCCTCAACTAGACAACAGCCGTTTTATAACATACGTTTTTGCAAACAAATAAATCATTACTGTCAGAATATTGTTCACATCAACATTTAATACTGATACCTTGATCAGATCAGCTATACCAAGGGCACTTCTCCCGTCATATAGAATATAAACAAGTTGATTATTTCAAGCACGAGTGTAATATATTTTTAACAGCAGTAAACACTGAGATATATTTAGCACTGAACAATTAATTAATTAGTCACTACTGAATTTGGCGGGAAACCTATGTCATGCCGTTTCCTGATTGGTCAAGTTGAAACAATCGGAATGGAATGTGTTGCTGCAGTAAGCAGCCTGTACGTGGGGAGAAAACCTCGGACCCGCGAACAGGCTGCGTAGGAGACTACTAGCAACCCTGCAAAAGCCCTGTCGCTTGTTGGTTTATTTAAGGTGGCACTGGTGGAACATTGGTTATTTCGTAAAGTTTTTTTTGTTAATTTTTACTTAAATAGTTCATAACTTTTTTATATAGTCATTATGTCTCAAGGGGATGTATCCTCAATTCCTGACGAGGCAGGTTGTTAAAGATTTGGAGGGCTACCTCACTGGAATAAGGAATGGAAAGGGTCCTCAAGAGAGAGCAAAATTGTTTGCCACTGCAGGGAACAAAGGTCATAAGGAACTCATCTGGAATTGCCCAATGGGGCACTTCACAGATTCACAACGCGACCTGGTTGCTGATACGCTGAACCACCATCAAGTAGACTATGCCACAGCTGAAGAACTCTTCAATTATGACGTGTACCAGGTTAGTTGCATGTGCTCATATGTTAATCGGTGTATAAACGAGTAACAGAAAATGTGTTTTCAAATTGTATTTATATGTTGTTGCCGGAAATAAACAATATGTAGTTAATTGTATTATGTAGTTAATTGTATTATTAAATACCTTCTTCCTCTGTGGTGGACTGGACAGTGGTTGCGTCTGCCCTTTTCGTTAGGCCGGTGATCTGACCTTACTTTAAAATTTGACCAGCGAGACACAACATAAGATTTTTAAAGTTTATTGCTCCCTTGCACAAGTGCTATGATGCAAAACGCTGCCAAAATTTGATATACCAATTTTCAGGTGACGTCTGTGTTGACAAAAATGTAGCTTGCTTAAGTTCACTATTGAAGTTGTTTCACATGTTTCTTATCCTGTCTATACAAAAAGTTAGTATAATTCTTGTACCACTTCTTATGGTACTTAACCTCAATGGCAACACAATCGTCCTGCATCTAAGGATGAAAGCGGACTTATAGCCTCATTAATATCATTATGATTCCTACTGGTTGTCGATTTTGAATTTGCATGCTTAGGCAAAATACTTGGTTGTTATTGGTTGTGACTGAACGGGACTAAACCCTTAATAAATTTAATGTTGATATATATATATGCATGCCTTCTGTGCATCATGGTAAAGCGGGTCTTTCAAACTTATAGCTCGATCGATCATACTGAATAGTTTTACTCATACATGCAAATATTTGTCATGGCAAGATTCGAAGAGAAGATGGGTTCCAATGCATGCACTCCCTTCTCAGATATAGAATGAAGTGTGACTGAATGACTTTGTGTATAGTACAGTCTATTAGTTGATGTTTTGCAGACTGGTCGATCACTAATCAGGTCACAATGGAATGAATCACATGTCGTAAAGCCACAATTTTCTTTACATGAGAATGGTAATGTGCAAAGAAGTGGAAATATTTCATTTATGAAAATCATTTGCATTTAATAATTGATTTACTGGCTATAATACTGCCATTAGATTGCATGGTTAATAATAGCGAGCTTAAGCATGTAGGACGGCAACACGGCGATGACGTCCAAAACAAATTCCTTCAAATAAATGATAGTAACGAAAACTTGTTGTATAATACAGTATTAGAAGTTGAAAACATTGGCTTTGTGTTTGGGAAGAGTTCTACTGAACAGAATTTCAAGTTGCACTTGTTACAGCTTCAAATGCAGATGTTGAATGTATAAAAAACATGAAAATCTGTGATTTGCCATTGTAAACAGAACAACGACTATGTCTGAAACTCCCCTGTGACTTTAGTTATGTATTTCTTTTGATCGACTCATTGTATTCATATAGTAACTAACAACTTACTGTGGACGTCACACAACAAACAACAAAGTGTCCAGTGAGCATGGAGAACGAAATTGTTAATTCAAATTATCTATTTCTGAATTTAAACAATATGTTACAAGTTTTGTTTACTATCTACATACCTGCCATTAATGCCACAAATCAATGCATCAGATAAATTATGAGAGGCAGTTTGACATGCTTATTTCCAATTTGGGACTGTTTTAAGCATTTTATAAACTCATTGCTTTAGTTGCAACATGCACCCACAGCTCACTACTGAAGCCACATATTGAAAATATCTTATTCCCGGAGTTTTTGTGTTCTGAATTCCCTGCAAGAGATGTTTTCAGTGATTTGGAAAGATGCTAACACCTGTTCTGGAGTCTGACAGGCGAAAGCATCGAGTACTTTAGATGAATAGTTCAGGATATTGGGCCTGTATTGTGCATGTACACCAGGCAAAGGCAACCCAGAGTCCAAAATAGCACTTTCAAATTAAATGAGATCAACAACATACTTATGGTTATTATCTGGATACGAATGTATCCTGAAATTGGAATGTTAAGTGCATTGTTCATGGTCAGTCCAACCGCGATAGAGAGTGAAATCTGATTCAATGGCCTACCCCTGAGCAATTACAGCGCTCAGCTGCAAATGATGCCCAGAATAGGAAATGGAGGAGGAACTCCAGCTGAATTATACATTTTAGCTGACAAAGGATATCCCTGTGAATATCCTCTATTGACACTTTGGAGAGAACGAGCTGTGGCTGGAGATGAACGGAGGAAACTATTTGACCTTCAATTAAGGAGAGTGCTAGCCAGGTTAGAACATTGCATCAGACTTGTCAAAGAATATGGAGCTGTGAACCAACTTTGGTGGCGTGAACAGTGGATGTTTCCTGTAGTTAATGAACTTTGCGCATTCTTTGTGCAAAGACACATTAATCTCTCTAGTGTACTGTGATATACAAGGGTGGGTAGTAGTGAAGTAGCTGTAGTTCGCTACTGCAGCGAACTACAATTTTCAAGTAGCCAGTAGTTTTTTAGAACAGTAGCTGTAGTTATAGCAAACTACATTTTCCCTAAAAGCAGCCAAGTAGTTGACTACTTTTCAAACAGTGAATTGCTATTCGCTACTTTTTAAAATTGTTAGCAACTTGAAAGAATAGCATGATATTGAGACACGGTTTTCTTAAAACCAATACTCAATAGTCAGTTTGCACTCTTGAACACTGTAGTGCTTACAAAAATGTTCCTTTGTGTTTACTGTTGCTACTCGTTTGTTATACGTTACATTTCAGTCTGAGTTAGTAGGTGCTCCAAATACAGTAAAACTAAAAATATAGCGTAGCGAAATAGTTTGCTACATTTTTTAAGCAGTAACTGTAGTCAGTAGCAAACTACCTTTGTTCAAAAGTAGCAGTAGTTGTAGCTGACTACATATTTTTGAAGTAGCTGTGGTTATAGTGAACTACAAAAAATTTGTAGTCATCCCACCCTTGGTGATATAGCTATATACTAGCTTCCAACTTTCAATAAAGATAGCATTTTTATTTCAAAAGTACTGTCTTACTAATTAACAAATTTATAGTTGTTGTGCACTAATTAATTGTTAAAAATGCGTTTTTGATTTTTGTTTCCAGAAACATGCTTTACACAATTACAGTCAATTAAGGAAAAACTGTAAACAAAATATTTGTTGATGACTTTATTGTGTTTTACATTTATAAGTGATTGTTTACAGTGTACATGTTATTCACACAATTATTTATTTATTTATTAAACTTCTGGCGAAGTACTTTGGTAATTTACAAAAAATATAAAGGTGGATTATATAACCTTAATGTTCACACAATTGGAAAATAATTATAAATGCAGATTGTATAATATTTTAAAAGTATTACATAATAGTTGTTGATGCTGTTGTTGTTGAAGTAGTTGTTGATGCTGTTGTTGTTGTTATTGTTGTTGCTACTGGTCTCTCAGTTCCTCCCTTTCATCGTGATCTACAAGCAAATTGTCATGAGGAGGATCTAGGTTGCTGGCTTTGGCATCATTCAGATTATTCACCTGTTGTTGGTTATCTGCAGCTCCTTCACTCCCCATACCTTGACGTATCTGCTGTCGCATTGATTCTCTTGCAGCTTTGCATTCCAGTGGACCAATTTGGTTTGCATAGCACATTTCATTACCTCTTTAAAGCAGTGGCATAGCCAGCTCGACAGTTTGGTCATGCTATGCAAATATTTTCGTGTTCATAGACTGTGAAAACAATCGATTTCTAAAGAAATGAATGATCATGATTTGATATTTGCACAGCATGACCAAATTGTCAGGCTGGCTATGCCACTGCTTTCAAGCAAACCCCTACAGTAATGCTACGAGCAGAAATCAATTGCTTACAATGTTAAAGCACATATATGTAATCTTGAATTCAATGCAATAATGATATACATACTTATACACATACATCAACATATGTATATTGAATGTACCCTCATTGCTTCTCTACCTACCTAAATAATGATCCTAATTACAATGTTATTGCATATACATATTCAATTAAAGTCCCAAAGGGCAAAGGCACAGCGCCAGTGTAATATTTGTAGACCAGCTGGCATCAATACAATTTGTCTTAAAATATCTGTCAATATAGGAGATTTTTGCACTTAAACGACTCTAAAAGGAAACACAGTTGTGTTTCGGTTATTTTTTGTTTGGTTGCAAATGCACACAATTTACCATGTATGCATGCATGTAAGGTTGTGTTTCCCCATGTATAACACTTTGTGAAACACACCTATAATAATAAAGTGTGCATTTAGATGCATAAATAGCCATGCCGTAACGGAAATTGAAGGGCAAACACAATCTGGGCAAAACACTGTAGTCTATACTGTTTCAAAATATATTCATTATATATAGTTATAATCCAGCTAGATACTCGCTTTCTGTGCACCTGTAATACCATCCTGGGAATGGAATTTGCAGAGGCAAGCAATAATTTGATTCTCGTCCATATCAATATAACAAAAATCTGCATACATAAGTTGCTTTATAGGTCGCATTAGCATGTATACACTAACATAAACAAACAGATCTTGGATTTTGAAGAAAGAACATTGCATAAATGAATATAAGTCTGTTTTCATCCCTAGAGGCAGGTCAACTAATAAGATCCTGTTGTCCTTTTTCTTTGTGGCAGCTTCACGCAATAGAACTGTGTCTAAAGTCTCACGCAACAAGGGGTGTTCTTTATGGGTAATAAGCTTGGAATGAATACTTCCTGTCTCTATTTTGGCAACTATCATTGTCAAGTGATCAGTGTAACAGTTTCTAAATTTTACCCCCCAAAAAAACGATCAAAGTGCCGAAACAACCCC